GCAAAGGCCCTTTGAAAAGCTTTTGGTGGAGAACGGGAAGTAGCCTTGCAGATTAGCTCAGAAACAGAGGTTCCAGACAGAGACACGGTGCTGAAGACCCAAAGATGCTCATGGAGAAGGCCGATGAACACGGCCAGTGGGGGCAGCAGGGGAACACGCAGCACACACTGACACAGAGGTGCATGAACAATGCAAGATGGATCTACAACCACATTCACAAGAACCCCGAAATCATGCAATCCCAAACCGGTTTGTGTTGCAAGGAACCTCAAAGCTCATCCAATTCCAACCCCCTGCCATGGGCAGGGACACCTTCCACTGGAGCAGCTTGCTCCAAGCCCCTGTGTCCAACCTGGCCTTGAACACTGCCACGGATGGGGCAGCCACAGCTTCTCTGGCCACCCTGTGCCAGCGCCTCAGCACCCTCACAGCAAAGAGCTTCTGCCTAAGAGCTCATCTCAGTCTCCCCTCGGGCAGGTTAAAGCCATTCCCCTTGGCCTGTCCCTACAGGCCCTTGTCCAAAGCCTCTCTCCACTGCAATGGAAATGCAACCAGTCTGCCAAATTAAAGTCAAATAAGAGATTTTACACATGCTGAGTATTAGATACACATTTGGGGTTCAGAAATCCTTTCAAACGTGAGGTTGAGATTTGCCACCTTTTTGTACAAACTGTTCAGACAACCACCCTGTGTCACGTGAGAGCATTTCAAATGACTGTCAATACATTATCATTGTAAGTCCCTTCCAACTGAACTATTCTATTCTAAATAACACTAACACAGATCTTTAGCAGCAGTTATGCTCTACAATGCATGTGAATACATAAGCCTGAGCATTTTTAGTATTGCTCTGTGTAAGGGCTGGTGTCACAAACATGTACAGGGATGCTAAAGACAATACAGGCAGGTAAGTATGTCTAATGGCATTCACCAGCTACTCTACAGGCATTTCTATCTGCTATGAATTTTAAGATAATGTGGCCACTATTTGACATAACATACTGTAAAAAGGTCTAAGCAAGTCAGCAAATTTACAGGCAGAATATCCTTTGTGATTATCCATGACTTGAGTGAATATTACCACTATGGTCTTCAAAACCAAGTGAAAAAGTGAATAAAAACATGTCTACTAAAGTAACGAAGAAAGATCACAGCCAGAGCAAGGCCCACGGTGCCATATGATGTCAAGGGGAAAGATGTAATTTTTGTTAAAAATTAATGTTAGCTAATATATGTTATATACTGTAACATCAACTTCAATATAAAAGATACAGCCTTCAATTCTAGGGAGTCATATACTGGGGCAAGAAGGGAAACAAGTTAATGCCAAAAAAAACCCTAATGACCAAAAAGGTATTTCCAAGTTGTGACTATAAAGGTAATTTTTAGAAAAACACATCTAAAAAAGTAAGAACAGTTTGCTTGAAGCTGCCACTGCTGCACTCAGAACACGATTTATCAGTTACAGCCATCCCAGTCCCAGATTTCCAGCCTTTTCATACCAGGCAGTAACACAACGCTAACGAACTGGCTAATTAGAATAGCGTACAAACTGACATCTTGCTAGAACATTTCACATAAATAAAGGACAAGAAAGGCTCTTGCATAAGCTGCTGCCGCCAAAATTAGACAAACACAAAGATGTCAGAAAAAGCAGCACGTACATTTGATAGCTTTTAACCACCAAAACGTTACTAGAGTTTTGCTGTTTAATAATGCAGTGGTAGAAGTTTTATGATAAACATGACAAAGAAAAAAATCCATAAACCAATAAAACAAAAGGCAGCTTGTGATGTGATGAAGATATGAATAAGTGATTAAACTGCAGATACTTTCCAGCACATTAGACAATTATCTACTTGCCCAAAGGGTGAACAGGAACAAAATGTTTGTAGACATAAGACCAATTAGCATTAAAGAGCAAGAGAAAGTGTACTAAGGAGGTACTGCACTGACACTGTTCTGTACAGTAAGAGCTAACATTCCTCAGAATACTATTTTTGTGCTCATATCTGAATCATCTGTATCAATTCTGTTCATCTCACTGTCAGTAGCTACAAAAATTTAAGACATACATCAGCATAAAAGGAACTGAAAAAGAGTTTAGAGACAACTCTTGAGAGGCAACTCCTTCATCTTAACACAAATCCACAGTTAAAACATATGAGCGGCCATTTCTTTATGGAAGAAACTGGTCTGATGTAGCTGTCCAGCTACAGCTCTCAGCACATCTTCACTCCTCTCAGCTTTCACCTCTGCTCTCCAATGGCTTTCAAAAGCACTTTACAAATACAAGACTGATCCTGTAAACAGAACAAACATTTCTGTTGCACAAGGGTTTTTAAATCTCATTCAAACACTACAGTAAATACAATAATCAGAGGATGGTTGGGGTTAGAAGTGACCTTAAAGCTTATCATCTAGTTTCAACCCCCTGCCATGCTCAGGGGCACCGTCCACCAGACCAGACCTTAAAGCTCATCTACTTCTAGCCCTCTGCCATGGTCAGGTCAGGGGCACATTCCACTAGACCAGACCTTAAAGCTCTTCTAGTTCTAGGCCCCCGCCATGGTCAGGGACACATTCCACTAGACCAGACCTTAACGCTCTTTCAGTTCCAAGCCCCTGCTATGGGCTGGGACATCTTCCACTAGAGCAGCCTGCTCCAAGCCCGTGTCCAACCTGGCCTTGAACACTGCCAGGGATGGGGCAGCCACAGCTTCTCTGGGCACCCTGTGCCAGCGCCTCAGCACCCTCACAGCAAAGAGCTTCTGCCTAAGAGCTCATCTCGGTCTCCCCTCGGGCAGGTTAAAGCCATTCCCCTTGGCCTGTCCCTACAGGCCCTTGTCCCAAGCCCCTCTCCAGCTTTCCTGCAGCCCCTTTAGGCACTGGAGCTGCTCTAAGGTCTCTCCTTCAGGAGCCTTCTCTTCTCCAGGCTGAACCAGCCCACCTCTTGAGTCAGGATAAAGCCCTATCTTGTCCTTGAATGCAGGCGGGGTGCCAGGACACAATAAAAAACATAGCACTACGATGCTGATGGGACTACATAAGCACACATTTTAAACGCCCAGAAAGTAATTTTTTATGTTGGTTCACCTTCCCTCTCTCCAAATTTTATTTTTGAGAAAGTATACAGCTGAAAAAACCCTCCTCTTCTCCACACAGCCTTCTGCATGGTCAGAGAAGGAAGACCACTGCACATTGCACCATGGGGGTGGGAAAAGCAGCAAACTACACCTGGATCTATATCCACAGCACCTCACACTATCTCACTTCCAAGAGACTGCATTCAGAAAGCAGGCAGTGGTGGAACTCCTTGCCATAGAATGACAGAGCAAACCTGAACTGAGCTCTTCCTCAGGGTATCCTGCAAGACCCATCTTCTTGCAGAAGGCTTCTTCCAACAAGGACAAACAGTAATTTGTCAAAACCTCACAAACAGAGGAAACAATTGTGGTTATGCCAAGCAGTAAGAAGGAAGAGTCAAACGTTGTTCAGGCAGAAGCAGTGTGATTTTTCACTTGTACACCATGTTTTGATACCCCAGAACAGGTGTAGTAGATAACATCTGCTCTTTATTGTAATCTGTACAGGGATAATGTTCTCCACTTGAGCTTAAAGAAAAAAATCACCTCTGGGCAAAGCAAGCATGGAAAATTCCAGCCCCAACCAAAATTAAGAGTTTTTCACAGGTTAACAATATAAGAAAATAGAGCCCTAAAATTCCAGCAGGCCTTTAACAACAGCACAGCAATGACTGCTCCTCACAAGGATCCACTGCTCTCAGCACCTTTGTTCTCCACTAGATCTGTTGATACCTCTCGAAACTCACATCCCCATTGTGCGAGCTAAGCCTGAATGCATTATGTAAAGAGCCACTTAAAAAAAGGAATTCTAATCAGCTCGAGACACTTACTGCTTCTCTTTAGGCTTCAGCTCTTTGAAATAAAGTTTCTATATCAACATTAAACATGCATGATTATGCAACAAGCAAATCAAACAAGGTTCATGAATGCAAAGTGAGAAGAAACTGCTTCCAGTAGCAATCCGGCCAAGATAAGAGGGCCAGAAGGACAAGTTGCCTACGTATCATAAAGCTAAGAGTACGAAAACATGGTTTATAGGGCAGCACCTTGTACGGAATTACCCACATTACTGAACAAAGTAACAAGAGTCTTGCAATTCAGAAGATGACAGCTATCACAGAGTCTGGAATCACTCCTGCCTGTTGACAGCAGCATGCTGTTCTTAACCAAGAAGTGGTTAGGAACAGTGGTAAAAGACACCACGATCCTACTCCACTGTACGTGCTTGAGAAGAATTGGTTTGCAAGTGGTACAATTTGGGCTCCAAGTAATAACACACCTAACCCACACCTGGATTACCCCTTAAATTAACCACCCTTCCGTGGTGAGGACTCAATAACACACCGTCACAAATCTCCCTGAGAAACGGCGGTAGGAAGGAAAGAGGGTCAAACAGGAATCACTTTAATGACTCTTATGAACACCCCATGTGTTGAGCAGCCCCACGCTGCATTAAAAACCACCTTAAAGCGCGCTGGTATTGCAAAGAAGATGGCAGATTTCAAAGAACTAAACGCCAACCTGCTCACACAAAACCACTCAGGGCATGAGAGGGAGCACAAGAACGCGGTCTGCACTGAACGGCACCACAGCGAAGTTTAACTGCGGACGGGCGGCGGGAGAGCCCATCCGAGAGAGAACCGGGGGTTAACAACAATAACGCTTAAAGTTTGGGGCCGGGGGGGGGGGGTGGTGGTGGTATGTGCGCGTGCGGGAAAGACGTTTGCTGCTCGCTGAGGGCAAGCGGGGCAGGAGCCGGGGCGGGGAACGGGGCAGCGGGGCCCGAGGACAAGCCCCCGGGAGGCGCAGGACAAGGGGCGGTCCGCGGACAGCGCTGCGGGGCGGGATGGGGGGGGGGGGGGGATGCAGGCTGCGGGCGGTCTCGGCGGGCGGGGAGCCGAGAGCGGATGTTACCTGGGCCGCAGGCGGGGTCGGAGCGGCCGCAGTCCGGGCGCGGCCTGGGGCTGCGGTGAGGGGCGGCGACCGCTGTGGTGATGGCGGGAGGGGGGGGAGGGGGGGGAGCCTTCCCTCGCCTCAGCCGGCCCCGGAGCTCCGCGGCGGGCCAGGCCTCCGCCCCCCCGCCCTCCCCTCCCCTCGCCGGGCTGCGGCCGGGCCGGCGGGGCGGCGCTGGCAGCGGGACCCGGCCGCGCAGGCACGGAACGGCCGCCGCGGTACCGGTGGCGCTGGGGTTGTTGTTGCTACCACGGCTCCAGCGATCGCGCTCCGCGGCCGCCGCCGACACGTCCAGACGCCACCGCGCATGAGCCACATCCGGGTAACACCGCCAGCCCCCCCCCCCCCGCCTCGCTACCAGCACACACGGCGCTTGCGCACACGGCGACTAGCGGTTGCCGCGCTGCTGGCAGCCGGAGAGAGGGGCGGGCGGGCGCGTTAGGGAATTGTGTGGTTGGTGTCCGCCGGCGGCGCGGGTAAGGCTGATGGGGCGGCAAGCAGGACTACGATCCCGCGGTCCCCGTAAATGCACCCCCAGAGGTGTGAAACACGGAACGTGGAGCCCCGAGTGCACAGGGTCAGCAGTACAGCACCCTGAATGCACAGCCCCACCGCTGCAACCCCGTGGGGTCACTGAGTGGTTTGGGTTGTAACGAGCTTAAAGCTCTTCCAGTCACAACCCCTGCCACGGGCAGGGACCCCTTCCCCTAGAGCAGCCTGCTCCAAGCCCCTGTGTCCAACCTGGCCTTGAACACTGCCAGGGATGGGGCAGCCACAGCTTCTCTGGGCACCCTGTGCCAGCGCCTCAGCACCCTCATAGGGAAGAACTTCTGCCTAATGCCTGGAAGCTTCTCTGTAAGTGTCCCTGGAGCCTTCTCTTCTCCAGGCTGACCCAGCCCAGCTCTCTCAGCCTGGCTCCAGAGCAGAGCTGCTCCAGCCCTCGCAGCATCTCCATGGCCTCCTCTGGCCTCGCTCCAACAGCTCCACGTCCCTCTTGTGCTGCTGCCCCAGAGCTGGATCAGGACTGCAGGGGGGGTCTCCCCACAGCACAGCAGAGGGGCAGGATCCCCTCCCTGAGCTGCTGCTCACGCTCTGGGGGTGCAGCCCAGCACACGGGGGGGGGCTGGGCTCAAGCGCTCACTGAAGCCGGGTCATGGGGAGCTTCTCACCCAACACCTCAAGTCCTTCTCCTCCGGGCTTCTCCATCCAGCTCATGTCTGTGCTGGGATTGCCCTGACCCAGGGGCAGGACCTTTCCCTTGGCCTGGTTGAACTCCATGACGTTCACAGGGTCCCACCTCTGCCAGATCCCTCTGGATCCCATCAAGGTGCTGCTGGGAAACAAAACCCAAACAACCTCCGAGCCCTGTAAATGCAAAGCCCCCCAGATGCAACATCCAGCATTGCACAGCTCTCAAATACAACCCCTGCAAGTTGAGAGCCATGCAATTACTGCCCCAGTAAAACCACAGCCCTGCAAAATGCAACCTCCCGGGGTGCAAACCCCCACATACAGCCCCAACAAACACATTTCCCCATTCCCCATCACCTTGTCCAGCAGAAGCAAATGCTCCAAAGGAATTCGGCTGAAAAGGGAAGGATTCGTTCCTCTTCTAAACTAGAAGGTTACCTCCTCGCATCTTTATGGTGCTGGGCCATTTTTAGGATGCCAAACAGAAGGGAAAAGGTGCATGAAATAGTATAGCTGCTGCAAAATACTGTATGTTTTTTTCTAAATAATTAGGGTGTTTTGATGCACTCTGGCAGCTACTCTGATAAGAGCTAAGAGTGATGGAAATTTAGAAGAACTGTTATGTTGCCATACCAAAGTTTCCTGCTCACACCATTAAGTCATTTATAATCACTCCGGATTCTTTAAGAGTATCATAACGATGAAAAGCAATGTAAAACACTGCTAGATTTGTCATCTTTTCCTGGGTAGATTAATTGAAGCCTCCTCCCACCAGGACGTGCTGAGAGTGTTGTAAATTGCCTGTTTCTGGAGCTTGTGAAGCGTTACGGATGGGAGACAGGAGCTCCAGTTCAATGGGGAGCAGCAAACGCATGTGCTCAGAGGCTGCCTCTGTGCGGGCACATTTACACCAGCACTTCCCTGCCCTCCACAAGGTATATAGTTTAAAAGCAAATAAATCGTTAAGTAATTTCTAATCTGTAATCACAGTCTTTTCCCCTTTGTGCTTCCAGACCCAGCTGCAGGCCCTCATCCAGGGACATGATTTGCTCTAATACAGGGCTGAATGGTGCAAAGTCTTCATGCTGAGTGCCAAGCAGTATAATTTCCATAGTTCCCAATGGCAAATAATGAGTCTAAATACAATATTTTACATTTTCTTCCACTGGAAATAGCCCTCGTTTGCTTTCAAGACATGCCATCAACCAAAGCCCCATTTAGACTACTGGGGCACAGTGAACTGCCATTACTGATGCTGTGCACTAAGCATCTTTTCAACATCTTTATAGTAAAAAATGTAGGTTTTAGGAGTGAAGAGGAAAGGATGTGGGGAAATCTGATGCAATCTTTCACTTTATTCCACAAGCAGGTGTGAAAAAGGTGCAAATTCAACAAGGAAATTCCCAAGAATGACACTGCAGCTGGGTTGTGAGTGAGATGAATTCACCTCTGTAGCATGAATGTAGTATTACATCAGACAGGATCTGAAATAGACATCTGAAAATTACTGTACCTGTGGTAACTCTCTCTGTTGTCTGTTTTGAGGCTGCTGATAAAGCAATCATGGTGATGTGATAGAATCCCAGACTGGTTTGGGTGGACTGTGCCTTATCCAGTCCCAACCCCTGCCACAGGCAGGGACACCTTCCCCTAGAGCAGCTTGCTCCAAGCCCCTGTGTCCGACCTGGCCTTGAACACTGCCAGGGATGGGGCAGCCACAGCTTCTCTGGGCACCCTGTGCCAGCGCCTCAGCACCCTCACAGCAAAGAGCTTCTGCCTAAGAGCTCAGCTCAGTCTCCCCTCGGGCAGGTTAAAGCCATTCCCCTTGGCCTGTCCCTACATCCCTTGTCCCAAGCCCCTCTCCATGTTTCCTGCAGCCCCTTTAGGCACTGGAGCTGCTCTCAGGTCTCCCCTTCAGGAGCCTTCTCTTCTCCAGGCTGCCCCAGCCCAGCTCTCTCAGCCTGGCTCCAGAGCAGAGCTGCTCCAGCCCTCGCAGCATCTCCATGGCCTCCTCTGGCCTCGCTCCAACAGCTCCACGTCCCTCTTGTGCTGCTGCCCCAGAGCTGGATCAGGACTGCAGGGGGGTCTCCCCATAGCGCAGCAGAGGGGCAGGATCCCCTCCCTGAGCTGCTGCTCACGCTCTGGGGGTGCAGCCCAGCACACGGGGGGGTTCTGGGCTCAAGCGCTCACTGAAGCCGGGTCATGGGGAGCTTCTCCTCACCCAACACCCCAAGTCCTTCTCCTCAGGCTGCTCCATCCAGCCGCTGATTTTTCTGGCATTGCTCTGATCCAGGGGCAGGACCTTGCACTTGCTGTGGTTGAACTCCATGAGGTTCACACAGTCCCACCTCTGCAGCCTGTCCTGGTTCCTCTCAAGGTCTGCTCAACAGGATCTTGGAACGTGAAATTTGGGGGTGCACAAGGTGCTGAAGAAGTGCCACCATCTGTCTCTGGCATCCCAAGCTCGGTGCCACAAGCCTTTGTGCACGGAGGCTGCTGGAGACACAAGGTGAATCCCACCACAGCCAGCTCCAGCATGAGGAAAGAACTTACCTAGAGCCTGAAAGGGGTGGAAATCTGTTTTACCAGGGAAGATACTGAGCAGCTACCTCATGTTTATCCAAAGCCAAACAGCTCCAGCAACAATTAAGTCAGGCAAGGGACCTTTGTAGGCCATTAAAGTGATGCTGAAAGGCTGCAGAGACACCATGTCCAAGAAAAAGGTACTTTTCCAACCACCTGGATGCCTTTGAATTCAAACACATTTCAAATATCAAACACTGGTATTAGCAGAATCAATTCAGTGTGTTGTGGTGTAGCATCCACCCATCCCCTCCTCAGAACACTACTTTGATCAAATTTCTGCAACTTCTTCTACCTCAAGATCCCAATCAATATGCTTTTATCATTAATAAAAAAGCATTAAGTTGTTCCAGTGACTATGAGCCAAACCACCAATTTCACTGAGACCTGGATCCGTCCTCCTACCTCGCCAGAAATTAGATTTCTAGAATGAAACCATCTGAGGTAAATAATTAATATCCTTTTCCTTATAAATTAACATGATTCACTAAGCGCAAATTCTATTCAAAGTCTTTAAAACATAGTAAAAATGCTCCCAAATGAAGATCACGTTTCTCCTGCATTGCCAGATGAAGTGTCCCACTGGTTGATACCAAAGGTTGAGCCACCTCTGGCATCAAGGATCCCTTTCTCAGTGGGATTTAGAGCCCAGACTTGATCCTGAGCTCTCCACCCTGCCCACACTCGGAGCAGCACACCACTCCTGTGCTCATTTCCCAACCTTTTCTGCAAGCTCATGCAGACCTCAGGAGAAGGAAGATTTACCCTTCCTCCTTTGGTTGTTGCTCACCCATTCTGTTAGCAGCTGCATGAAGAAAGCAGGAACATCTCTGCTGTTACAAAACTCTTTCCTCTCTCCTCCTCTTTCCCATAACATATAATGCTTCTTTTGCAGTTTATCAAGTCCCTCTGCTGGTATGAGCTAGAAAAAAAAGGAACCAAACTTAGCAGAACTCAACCAGGAAAGCAGAAGAATGTTTAAAATCAGATATTCAAAGCTAAAAAAAAACAAAAAAACAAACAAAAAAAGTCTTCATTTACAGACCCAAAACCTGTTAAAACACTCTCTGAGTCCTCACAGGACCAGACCAGAATCCTTTATGTGCTGTCAAAGGAAATGGTCTCTGGCAGATCTATTTTAATGCAAAGGAATTCTGTTCTTCAGTATTTAACAACTCGTTAATGGAAAGATAAACTCATCTGCAAAAATAGACAATTTATGGTCTAAATTTGTCAGTCCTGACTGGTGCACATGTTCCCATTAATTCAAGTCTCACTAGCAGTCAGATTTATGAAGAAATTCAGTATCCAGACTTCGAGAGAGAAGTGGAACATGGTAAGCAAAGACACATGGATCTGCTAAGCATGAGACAACTGTAACTGGATTACAAATACTAAAATATATTAAAGTGGAAATAAAGGAATTTCACATAACTCCAGCACTAGGTACACCCTCATTCACCAACATACCAAAAAAGAAACCATTTCAAAAAGTCACAGAATCATAAAACAGAATCCCAAACTGGTTTGTGCTGGAAGGGATCTTAAAGCTCATCCAGTCCCAACCCCCTGCCACAGGCAGGGACCCCTTCCACTAGGGCAGCTTGCTCCAAGCCCCTGTGTCCAACCTGGCCTTGAACACTGCCAGGGATGGGGCAGCCACAGCTTCTCTGGGCACCCTGTGCCAGCGCCTCAGCACCCTCACAGCAAAGAGCTTCTGCCTAAGAGCTCATCTCAGTCTCCCCTCGGGCAGGTTAAAGCCATTCCCCTTGGCCTGTCCCTACAGGCCCTTGTCCCAAGCCCCTCCCCAGCTTTCCTGCAGCCCCTTTAGGCCCTGGAAGGACACTGATGGCTATATAGTTAACCTGGCCTTAAATACAGACCAGGCACTTAGCAGCTTTTCTTCTCAGCTTAGATGAAATAAGCATTTCCTCCCCTGGTTTTCCATGCAGAATAAACAGCCCTAAAAATTACACTAACAGATCAATTCTGTACAACAAAGTTCCTCCATCTAACACTTGAAGACCTAGCCCACTGCTTTAATTCAATACACTTTTCTCCTTTCTGTTCTTTATGCAAATTGACCCATTCTGAATTAGAATTTAGATCCTAAAACATATTTAGGATGTAGCTATTTAGCATATTTAGGGTGTGGTAGGACCAACAGGATATATCAGCTCACTTTGTTAAAACTGGGGCTCCCAAGCAGCTCTGGCCCAGCACTTCTGCACCCTCCTTCATTCAAGTCATGCAGCAAGACAGCTCACTGACTGACTCAGTGATCGAGCAGAAAACGAGCCCAGAGGCTATTTTCCTGCAGGCTGCTGAGAAACTGTGTGTTTTTATCCAGGCAAGCACTGACCAGCACACTGAGCTGGACCATGCAGGACTGCAGGGCACAGAGAGGTGAGGCTTCCTCCACACCAGGAGCCTGTACTGTGGATTCACCTCACCCATCTACCCACACCCTCTGTCATTTGAATGGGAACTGAAGAAACTCCTGCATTCACAGCAATTAACTAACCACATGAATGCAAAACTGTATTTACTGCTGGGATGGATAACCCAGTTCTGGAGCAGCAGTATCCAGGGGAGGTGAGCTGCAGTGGTGCATGCACACAGGTTCCATAGGCTTTTGGGCTGTACCCTTTTTTTACTTCCACGCTTTGATTTTGTCACATGCAGGTGGTATCCACAGAGCCTTTAAGTCATTCCCTAAACTTCATATCACAACCATGAATGCCTTAGAAATAGGATTTTTTGGTTGTTACAGTGTGGAAGCAGATGTAGCAGAGCAGGTCAGGACACAGTTATTCTTCCACTGTAAGAACCATAGGGTAGCTGGAGTCTGCTCAGCTTTTGAACACATAGAGTAGCATGAATATCAAGGTCTCTGGATCTGGTATTCATTTTTCTTACAAAAGAAAAACAATTTATGGGGTGAAAGAATGTTCCAGTGCATGATCTGTAGATTCTGCCTGTTTTGTACCATTTTTAAGAGAGAAGTCAGAGATCAGTGAGTTTCTGCTCCAGAATTCATATTCTTCAAGTCTGCACTCTTCCCAATACTTTAAGAGATCTCAGATACCCTTTAAATTTGAAGCAGAAAATATTAATGTTGGTGTAATTCAGTTCAGAGTTACCATAACTGCAGGTAAGACAGTTTTGCAGGGTGGGGATAAGATGTCGAATTCAATTGCATCCATTTAGTTAAACAGTAGGAAATCACGCTCTTCCTTTGAAGACTGTTGCTTCATTACAGCCAAAAACACTCTTAGTGAAGAAAACTTGAAGAATATCCAAAAGAAAGCTGCAGGATTTGACTTCCTCACCTCCACAGTTTGGTTTGGGTGAGGGTTACTGCAGCACACATAGTGCACAGTGCTCTGTATCTACAGGGGAGGGATCTTTAAAGAGCAGAAGTGTTCTCAGATTTTAGAGCTTTGCTATTCTTCATTAAAAGCAGGAAGGAAAACTGTATATTAAAAGGGATTTGTTTTCTATCTATATTATCATCAAGTACACAAAGTAAAGCACAGACACAGCAGCTGCACTTACATCTGCCAGAGTTTTCAGTGTTTATTAGAAAACTCTGAAGTGTTTCAGCTTTCAGGAAATCTATGCTGGGGAAAACAGCTTTAGGGTTCTAAACCACTCAGTTTCACTTTCAACCAGAAAAGTAAGCTAAAATTTGGACACTTCTAGTTGGTTTCAAGGCAGGAAGAAAAGAAGATAAAGTTGATCTGTATGTCCCTTGACTGATAAAGTTATTGCAGAAACAGACTGAGTGACATGTATGTGAAATTCCTCCTGTAGGGGTATTTCTACAAACACAAATATGCTTTTAATCAGGATAATTTGTCTTAGAAAATGCACCTGGAGGAACATTTTAGGAGAGGCTACTTGTCATCTGCTAAAGACTTCCAGAGTCTTCTAAAACTTCACTGATGCAGGGAATAGGTATGCAAACTTAGGGCTCATGCCTCAGAGGTTTAAATGAATCAAACTGGTAAGAGTGATTCAGGAAAGCCTAAACTGCATTTATTTATGAGGAAACTTCATATGCAAAGGGAGAATTAGAAGAGCTCCTCAACTTAAGCAGTAGCAACAGCCAAGTTACAACCATTTGGCAAAACTATTAGTTCCAGCGTGATAGTCCTCTTACACAGAAACAGGGTTACAGTTACAGAATACTATAGACAAGTTTGAAATAGATGTTACTCAAAAGCTTGTAACAGGTAAGGTATCTTAAATTCTGGTGCAGAACACAGACCTTCCGACTGTATCAAGCCAAATGATCCAGTGCTCTGCTGTAAGAATCTGTGGTCCAAGGAAGAGAAGGACGGCCCAGCCTAAACATTCAGTTTCTGGGGTGTTTGAAACCAACTATTTTGAATTTATTCCAAGTTCAAGACATCCGAGTATCCTTTTTTCTTGCTTTAAAAAAGCAAAATAACTGTACCTGGTACTGTCTCCAGTTTGCAAGTGTTCTGTGTGCCACAGTTGGATACCAGAATCCTACAGTTACCCAACACCATCCTAGTTTATGTCTTCACACCAAGCTTGCTAACACTATCATTTTAACTTTCTCATTGGAATTTCTATTGTCATGAAGTCCTCTGCTAGTGTTACTTCTTGGCCATCTAACACTGACTCTGCCTGTCTCTTCAATTCGGTGATGTCCGCATCCCCCTCACCTCTCTGCGCATCCGGTTTGTACCGCTGACTGAAGTGAGTCAACACCAGTTTCTTAACTTTACACCATTTTGCAAACTCCGAAGCCATTTTCGGAGTGCTATGACCATGCTCTCTGGCCTTTTCCTCTTGGGTATCGTCCAGCGTGGCTTCATGTATCAGGACATCTGCTCCACAGCAAAGCTTTGCGGCCGCATCTCCAACCACCCCTGAACAATCTCCCAGAATGCAAATTTTTCTTCCAGGAATAGGGTCTTCTAAGACATCAGAAGGAGAAATCTTTAGTCCATTTTCTAGAACAACTGTACTCCCACTCTTCAGCTTCCCATATAAAGGACCTGGTTGAAATCCTGGTGAATAAAGGCAAAAGAGTCCGTAAGTATTATAACAAGTGTCAAGTTTAAAAACAAGAAATTAAGAAGAAATACCCTCTATATATTATATACCTTTATATATATAGCTGTCTTACTGAAAACATACAACCTCAATATAAATATTGGCTGGATGGCCAAACACAAAGGGTTGTCCCTCAGGGATCGGTGTTGGGACCGGTCTTGTTCAACATCTTTGTCGCTGACATGGACAGTGGGATTGAGTGCGCCCTCAGCAAGTTTGCCGATGACACCGAGCTGTGTGGTTCGGTTGATACCCTGGAGGGAAGGAATGCCATCCAGAGGGAGCTTGACATGCTTCTGAGGTGGGCTGATGCCAACCTCATGGATTTTAACCAAAGCAAGTGCAAGGTCCTACACCTGGGTCAGAGCAATCCTAGGCACAGCTACAGGTTGGGCAGAGAAGAGATTCAGAGCAGCCCAAGGAGAAGGACTTGGGGGTGTTGGTTGATGAGAAACTGAACATGAGCTGGCTTCAGTGTGCACTCACAGCCCAGAAAGCAACCGAATCCTGGGCTGCATCCAAAGGAGCGTGACCAGCAGGTCGAAGGAGGTGATCCTGCCCCTCTACTCTGCTCTCCTGAGACCTCACCTGGAGCATTGTGTGCAGTTCTGGTGTCCTCAACATAAAAAGGACATGGAACTGTTGGAACAAGTCCAGAGGAGGCCACAAGGATGATCAGGGACTGGAGCACCTCCTGTATGAAGACAGGCTGAGAAAGTTGGGGCTGTTCAGCCTGGAGAAGAGAAGGCTGCATGGAGACCTCAAGAGCAGCCTTCCAGTATCTGAAGGGAGCCTATAGGTACGCTGGGGAGGGACTCTTCATTAGGGACTGTAGTGATAGGACAAGGGGTAATGGGTTCAAACCTAAACAGGGGAAGTTTAGATTGGATCTAAGGAGGAAGTTCTTTCCTGTTAGGGTGGTGAGGCTCTGGAATGGGTTGCCCAGGGAAGCTGTGAATGCTCCACCCCTGGCAGTGCTCAAGGCCAGGTTGGATGAAGCCTTGGCTGGCCTGGTTTAGTGTGAGGTGTCCCTGCCCATGGCAGGGGGGTTGGAACTTGATGATCTTAAGCTCCTTTCCAACCTTAACTATTCTATGATTCTAAGTAGAATTATAAATTGCAATTGACACTTCATATGCCTCATGCAAATACAGAGCTTACAACATTAACAGGAAGTGTGTTCAAAGGAAAGCTATATTATCCGTACTAAAGTCAATAAAGACATGCAGATACACCAGCCATACATTTCCCTGAAAGCCACATTGTGCTTTTAAACTCAAACATCTGAACTTGTTTGCCCTTCTCAGTATGACAAGATTAAATGGCACTACTGTTACACACCAACATGAAGCATTTAAATGCCTTTCATAGAAAATGGAAAATTGAATTAAAGTGGTTATGGAGACATACAGCAGCTCTAATTTGCTGGACCCCTAGAAAGGCTGCTCACAAAGATTTCAACTGCCTGTGAACGCAATTTTGTTCCATTTGCTGAAAATCAGAGCCGCTACTCAGCTTAAACACATACATTCAGGCATTTAAAACACTTAAAAAAGACGGAAAACAAGTCAAAGTAATTACCAAGGTCTTTCAGTTTCTGTACATTGAGTTTACCGGTCCGGGGCTTCTCTTCCACCACAAAGCCAAAGGAAGGAATGCGATGAAATAGGCGAAATGCTTTCAGAACTAGCTGCTCATCCTCAAGCAGCAAGTAAGAGTCTTCTGCTGGATCCAGATGGAGTATTCTCCCTTGTGCTCCCTCAGGAGGTATCACATCACTGCCCATGTAAGAGAACTCTCTGAATTCTTCTGCAGGGCACTGGTCCCGTGTAGGCACCAGTTCATGAACAGTGTAGGAAAAGAGAAGTTGGGAGTGGGAGAGCTCCATACTTCTCCAGATGAAGTCTCGCAGCCCTAATGGCCCATAAATATCCAGAGGTGGTTTGTCTGCATCAGGGCTGCTTTGGAGGCTAATTGTACACAGCAGGCCAGGAAGTCCAAAAAAGTGGTCGCCGTGAAGATGAGTGATGAAGATCTTGGTAATTCTGCCTGTTGATCAGAACAGGGAAAGAAAACCCAGAAAAAAGAAAAACCCAAGAAAATAAATGAGCACAGCAACTCAGAAATAATCACTTTGGGGCAAGAAGTAGGAAATGTAAGGGAGAAGGGAAATTAATATAAACTAGTGTTTAAGAAATAAATTCCAAACCAGTTTTTCTTTTCCACAGCAGTGATAAGTTTCCACACCAGGTTTATTTTGGCTTGATTTGCAAAAGACTGCCAGGGCAGAAGTTTTAGTTCCTTCTAAGCAAAACATTCTACAAACATGGAAGAAAGCTGAGTGGTGACATCTGCTATATTAAAAGTGAAGAAGTGCTGGAAAATGGTCATGCTTCCTCCATACATTACATGGAATCTGTAGGCTAATGAGAAATGTAATGTGGAATCTGCATCGTTCCTACTTTTGAATTTAGCACATGAAATGAACATAAAACCAAAAAGCATCCAGGTTTGATTTTAATGTTTTTAAAAGGCAAGAACCCCACAGATCCTGACTCGTTTCTTTGGAAAGATGAAAACCTGCACTTAAAAGATTTAGCTTTGTTTTTGTGTCTAAGCCCTCCTCTTGACCCATTACAAAAGCCCAGAATCTTCTGTCATGACAGACACATGTACTTTAACCAGGCTGCCTCAGCTGAGGTTCCACATCAACACAGTGAGGCATTTTCTCCACCATCTGTTAGGACTCAGCAGTAGGAAGAACAGAATCTTTGTTTTGATTGAGGAACAATTAAGTAAATATCAGTAACTCTAGCAAAAAATTAATCTATCCATTTGGCCACTAAATCCCCTGATAGCTTCAGATTTCAAAGGAGCAGAAGGCTGGTTTTCTATTCATAATTGGCAATTCCATCTTTACAACTTGGGAGTCAGAAGTCTGCTCTTGCCACTTCAGGATGAGAATCACAGAGACTGAAGGCTCAAGGCTGGTTTCTACTTAATTTGCCAAAATGGAAAAGTTACCATGAATTCACAGAACTTTTCCTGAAATCAAAAGCACAATAATTACTGAGAGGAATACTCACAGCAGGTATTGTCTAGAGCTGCCTTCAGACAGATACAAACTGTGCTGGTTTAAAGCTGGTCTGTGGCCCATATTTCAAAGTACAAAGCCTGATACATTAATTATGGAGAGTTTGGTTCTCAAACAGAATTCTTTACCGAAGGGCAATCAGGGATTTACTGCACAGTATGTTCACCAGCTGCCGTCCATAAGCAGCGGCTCACGCATGTTGAGTGCGTATTCAAATGCTACAAGAATAGAGTGTTTTGTGTAGAGCTCCTGAAACTGCCCCCTTCCCTCATCGCAACAGCTTGCACAGCACAAACCTGCTCTGAGATGGCTCTTCATGATCTGTGTTTGAGTTCCCTCCCCGCAGTCAAACAGCCAGCACTCTCCTTCCCTGCGAAGCACCAGTGCCGACGCTCCTCTGGTTGGAGAGGGATATGCTGAGCCAGTGCCGAGGAAGGTTATATCCATAGACATCCTCAGTGCGTCTGTATATCTGGAACAGAGATCCTGAGCTGCTGAACATCTGTATTTATGCTGGGAAAGAAACGAACATTTTGGCTTTAAATGAAGGCATCCTCCCTCCTTTAGTGTGAGGACCAAATTCCCCTTCCCTGGAACAGGGTATGACTTTCAGACAACACAATATTTACAAGCAGAAACTCCTCTTTATGTCAGTGGAAGGCTGCAAACAGCCCAAACATAAGGACTTTGTTACCCAAAGACACAGCCCTATCCAGTCGGAAATGTTCAAATCTTTAAACACACTACTACTTCATTCTTCTTCTTTAAACTTTGTGTCTACCCTCATGTGCTTTCCTCTAAAAGCCATTTTGGAATGACTGACAGCATAGCCACTGCTGACACTTGAAGGTTGTTACTGGATGTCAGAAGTGGGCAGCCCAACAATGCAGAGGTGAGAGATCTGTTCCCCTCAAGACAACTGCATAGACCACGAGGCAGGAGTGACCTGATTTACTTTGCCTTTGCAACGGCACCTTTGAAAGCTTGTTTGATGTCTCAGTGTTAGGAGGAAAAACAAACCAAATGACCAAGGCTTACATAGCCATGAGGCTGTGTAACAGCCCACAGGACACCTACTGCAGCTGAAGGATCCACACAATCAGCTATGCAGTGCTGGACGTATCCACTGCAGTGTCCGGGTGAGGAGCCCGGCTAGTCTGTATGAGCAGCACAACCTTTTGAAAGCTGTGTTAGAATCATACAACCCCAGACTGGTTTGTGTTGGAAGGGAGCTTAAAGCTCATCCAGCTCCAACTCCTGCCAAGGGCAGGGACCCCTTCCCCTAGAGCAGCTTGCTCCAAGCCCCTGTGTCCAACCTGGCCTTGAACACTGCCAGGGATGGGGCAGCCACAGCTTCTCTGGGCACCCTGTGCCAGCGCCTCAGCACCCTCACAGCAAAGAGCTTCTGCCTAAGAGCTCAGCTCAGTCTCCCCTCGGGCAGGTTAAAGCCATTCCCCTTGGCCTGTCCCTACAGGCCCTTGTCCCAAAGCCCCTCTCCATGTTTCCTGCAGCCCCTTCAGGCACTGGAGCTGCTCTCAGGTCTCCCCTTCAGGAGCCTTCTCTTCTCCAGGCTGCCCCAGCCCAGCTCTCTCAGCCTGGCTCCAGAGCAGAGCTGCTCCAGCCCTCGCAGCATCTCCATGGCCTCCTCTGGCCTCGCTCCAACAGCTCCACGTCCCTCTTGTGCTGCTGCGCCAGAGCAGGATCAGGACTGCAGGGGGGTCTCCCCATAGCGCAGCACAAGATAACGGATGATTCCCGTCACCCCCAACCCCACAGATGAACGTTTCTCTCCCTCTCCCCGGTGCAAAAGCAGCCACATCTCGTCAGCAGCCTCCCGAGCTCCGCTCCCCTGGAACCCCAGCGCCGTTCCGGGCCTCACCCCGCGGGAACGGCCCGGGGCAGCCGGCTGGGTACGAGGGGTCCCAACACCGCCGCTTTCAGCAGGGCCTACCCAGCTCCGGAGCGCGGCCCGGCCCCTCCGCGCTCTCCCAGGCGGCTCTGCGGCCAGGGCGGGGCGGGCGGGGTGCTGCGGCAGGTCCCGGCTCTGGCCGCGGCCTGTGGGAATAGGGGTGCAGCCCCGCAGGGCCGGGGTTGTTGTGTCAGGTAACCTTTAACAGTAATCGAAGATAGCCGGTTCTGAATTGAACTGTGGATGAAAGCGGTACTAATATGCGTGATCCTACCCAGTCAGTGCACACCTGGCATGAATGTCTCTAAACCATTCTGTTCAACAGCTACCTAGAAGCATACTTGACACATCCCGTGATTCACTGAATCCCGGACTGGTTTGTGTTGGAAGGGACCTTAAAGCTCATCCAGCTCCAGCCCCTGCCACAGGCAGGGACACCTTCCATAGAGCAGCTTGCTCCAAGCCCCTGTGTCCAACCTGGCTTTGAACACTGCCAGGGATGGGGCTGGTACTGGCAAATAAAGGGTTAACATTGTGCCTGCTTGCTTAAGCAGTCGCTGTGCTTGGTGAAGCAGAACCCTAGGAGTCAAAGTTGCAAGAACGGTGAAGCAGAATTGTAGGAGTTACAGCTGCTAGGCAGAATTGTAGTAGGTAAGATTCATAGCTTAATATTTAAGACATTCTTGTTCAAACAGTATCTTTAGAAAGAAAAGGAACAAAAGATAGCCAGAGTAACACAATTTGCAAACCTGACATGTTTCTGCTTTAAGATACATAAAACCGGCTTGTACCAAACCTGAGGTTTGGATCGGAGCCGAAACCCTACTGAGTCTGCCTGAAAGCAAGAGGTTACTCGCGGTGATGAAGAGGAACTACAGGCCTTCATCCTCACAACCCCCTAACGACCACCACCAGGAGGCACTGCACAGGCGCACCAATGGGACGAATGCCAGAAAACTAATTATAATACTAGACGGGAACAGGTTTTGCATATGTATTAGGTGTGAAGCAATCTCATGTTCAGGTAACCATTATATGTAATATAAACGAACTGAGTAGCAAAGAGGGGGCGCGCATGCTTTTGGAGGAGCAGTCCCCATGTGCCTCAGCGCTGAATAAAGCATACCTACTTTACAACTCTAATGAGTTGTGGAGTCTATCCGCTTATCAATATCAGGGCAGCCACAGCTTCTCTGGGCACCCTGTGCCAGCGCCTCGGCACCAGTGTCCAAAAGAGAATGCAACTGGAGGTGATGTTTTGTGCAGTGTGGGTACGTTGGGTTCTGTAGGACACTTGAGGTTACCCCTGTGTAAAGGAAAGAAGGTGAAGCACAAGGAAGACAAACCCATTTTGAAGATGGGTACCAAAGGTTTAGGATGTGGTGCGGATACTGTGATGAGATTGCTCCAACGTCTGTGCACTTTCACCGATGGCTTTTCCAAATGACCTGGATGGTAACAACAGTATGCTTGCTAGGTTTCAGTAGTGGACTTGGCAGTGATTGGTGAATGGCTGGACTCAATGATATTACCAGGCTTTTCCAACTGAAACAGTTCTTTAAGCCCCTTTACAAGGGGTTTCTTTGACAGTGCAGTAAAACACCCAAATGTTCAAAAAAGTCGTTTTGAAATAAAAACTGGAATTGCTTTAACTTCAGCCTAACTACCTGTTTTGTTGGCTGATCAGGCCAGGCTGGATGTGGCTTGGAATAACCTGGTCTAGTGGAAGGTGCCCATGGTTGGAACTGGATGAGGTTTAAGATCCCTTCCAACCCAAACCAGTCTGGGATTCTATGATCATTTGAAAATGATGGGGGGGGGGGGGGGGTAGTATAAACCAAACCATCAGTAATCGTGTACCAATTCCATATAGATCAAGTGTTATTTTCACAGAATAAATAATATCAAATATAAGCAAAGGGAATGCATTTTACTAAGAAAATAGAAGACCAGAACACACATTTCAATAGAGTTACAACATTATAAAGGAAGAAAAATCCCCAACCTGTTTACATTTAAATACAATTTTAGTTTCAGCTGAGCAATGACCCTCCCAGGTAAAGCCAAGCCTGGACAGTTCTCATAAGCACTCCAGTAGACTTACATTTATTTTTGTAAGGTAGATATGCTCAAAGTGAAAATAAATGTGGATTATTTTGACATTTATTGACAAACTGGCCATCTTACTATGTCTGTGTATTCCTAATAGTATTTTTATTTCCATTAGGAAGGAGCTACTTAAAGGATGGGTGAGTCAAAGACAGTTGGAGAGTTAAGTGCAATCCAGTGCCAACATTGTGTGCAGGGAATACAAATGCACACCACAGTTTTCTGCACTGCACGCACAACATCTGATGCAAGGCAGCTTTTTACATGAGCCATGGTCCACTGTGCCAGCAGGTTCCAGATTAATCCCCGTGAACATTTTCCCCTGGAGCAGGCACTAGCAAGCTGCATCATCATGGAGTGCTGCGGTTTGGGAAGCAACGGTAGGCAGCAGAGGTCTGAAGCTGGATTTTCCTTGCTGTTCACCCAGAACATCTGCAGGCTTCCCGATACCATGGTAATGAGTTTTTTTGGAAGCAGGTAAATAGGTCAGTGTAGATCCATACAGAATTAGATGTTCCTTCAACAGTGGTAACTGAATTATGTTTCCCAAATTCATCGGCCATTTGGGTACAATTCGAGCTCTGCTCTAGATTTTCTCCTTGCTCCAGTATTCAATGTAACACCAGTCCCCGCCTGTTACATATGGCTGTTACAAAACACAATAGCAGTATGCATGCCCTTAAAAAGAGTTCAAAAACAACAGTGGTTTTCTTAAATTCGGGAATAGCATTTATGGCTGAGGCAGAATAGGAATCCAAACTTGCAGTCCGATCTGAGAGGCCCACAGATACCTTTATTTGAATGACAGAGGTGCTCAAACCTGCACCTTTGAAGTCAAGACGACCCGGAGCAAATGGAAGATGACAACTTGGATTTAGTTAGGCCCAGAGTCAGCTGAACTAAGATTCACAGTTGTAGTTGTACATCAGTAATCCCCGTTCTCCTACAGGAGTAGTCACCAAATAGGGTTGCTAGTGAAAAACTAAAAGGAGTATCACTTATCTTTGCAGTTACTACCAGAGGAGTGTGACAAAGAGTTACTTTACCTTCTCCCACAAAATAGCGTGCTGGAAACAACAGTACAGAGAAGACACGCACATACCACAGGAAACCTGTTAAACACCAATCTGCAGGTACAGTGTGGCTTTGTTTTAAGCTTGGAAAACAAACACAACATCATGAAACATCACTATTCACAAACATAACTGAGAATTTATGCAACAGTCACATCTGGGGTTTAAAATCTATCAGACACTGCATTTTAACAGTCTTCCTCTATATGTCAGTTGTGGTCATAGGCTTTGGGAACACACAAATCCTATCTCTGAACAAGAACATGGATATTTTATTAATATAGGCTGCACTCCCTTAGCTACCTTTCTTCTCCTTCTACAGATGCTTCTATACATTGCTGCCATGAGGCTCAGTCCTGCTCCTGTTGATTTTAAGGAAGCAAGTCCTGGAAAAGACCAAGCTACTGA